AGATAGATAGATAGATAGATAGATAGATAGATAGATAGAAAGAGCGAGACTGGCAGACAGACAAACAGACAGAGAGACAGACAGACAGACAAATAGGGACAGAGACTGAGACAGATAGAAAAAAAGAGAAAGAGAAAGAGACAGATAAAGCTTGTTTTTTCATATGGTCGCTTTTAAGGACAAGCGGGCTAACCCAGATTTCGGGGGTTTCCAGAAATCTTGACCTACACAAAAGTGGGCATTGCCCTACCTATAGGAGAAGTTTGGTTTCATCGGTGTGTATATTTGTTTGGTTATAGAGAAAACTCTCCTTGTCTTTTGAAGAAACTGAACAAGGGGCAAAAACTGTAATTTCAATTTTCTCAAAACAGCATTTTTCGGGATAGCCAAAAGTGGGCATAGACTTCCTTAAGGAGAAGTTTGGTTTCATTGATGTGTATATTTGTTTGGTTATAGAGAAAACTCTCCTTGTCTTTTGAAGAAACTGAACAAGGGGCAAAAACTGTACCTTCGATTTTCTCAAAACAACATTTTTCGAGATAACCTACTTGTGCTTAAAAGCGACCATATTTGTGTCGAGACATGGTGGAATCAGGCGCTCGTCAATTTTTGGGCATGTGGAGCTATTGGTATCACCTTAAAGCTTATTCAATTGTCTTGGTGTGGGTGAAAAAAATGTCCATCTATCTTGAAAAAAAGTCAAGATATTTGAGATTGAAGAAGGAGCCGTCGCCTGGTTTCAAAGGTAGAATTAGCGAGAAAATGGCCGCCAATGTTTAATTATTTCCATAGCTTGATAGTCCGTGAACACTGAAAACTTACATTTTTGTGGCTTTAATAAATGTTTTTCAGTAAAAATCCACCCAGAAATATGTTCTTAATTGGATAACAATGGTGTTAGTCCAAAAAAAAAAAAATTTACAAAAATTGATGAAAATTGTCAAACTGGCAGAAAAGTGTCAGTTTCTTCAATTTCATTATAATTTTGTCGAGCGCCTGATTTCACCACGCTGCCTCACACACTTTTGCTTTCGAGAAGATTCCTCAGTCTGGTCCAACTTTCGCCGCCCTCCAAGTCTAAGTACGAGACATTTGCTAGATAACATAAGGTCATGAAGGCCACTTGACTTACGACGAGACTCTCGAACCAACACCTTAAGTCTCTCTTGGGGACCAGAAAACAAAACGACACAAAACAAAAATCATCCAAGCAAAAACATGTCTTTGTATCGGGACGTTTCTCCCCCCCCCCCCCCACAAACAAAACAAAATTAAACAACCAAGATCGACGATCAAACATCAAGAGTGAGAATAAATTCCAATGTATGTAAGACTTGAACAATGATAGCGAGATTAAATCCTTACAAGAAAGCGAGAATACATACAATCATTATATCTAACCAAAAAAAAAAAAAATCAAAACAACATCCCGCCCCCCCAAAAACCCCCCAACAACAACAACAAACAAACAACAACATTAACAAAAAACAAAGCCAAAAAACAAACAAAAACAAACAAACAACCCCGAATAAAAACGAGAAC